CACAGGCAGTCTGAGTGCCCAAAGAATCCACGCAGGGGACTCTTTGTTGATGAGGGAAATGATGATTATGAAGGTCCGCCTGTATTTGACGGTGAGGGCGGAGAAGAAGCAACAGAAGAGGAAGAGTTTGTGGTTGGTGATGTGGGTCAGGCACTGGTGGTGAGGAGGAGTTTCCTGATTCCTTTGGAGAATAACACTGATTGGTTGCGTAATAATATCTTTCAATCAACATGTACTGTTGGAGGGAAGGTGTGTAAATTTGTTATTGATTCTGGTAGTTGCGAGAATGTGGTGGCTGAGGAGGTCGTTAAGAAGCTGGGTTTGCAGACTGAGAAACATCCCAAACCTTACAAATTAGCCTGGCTGAAAAGAGGCAATGACGTAGATGTGTCTCAACGTGCTAGGATCAGCTTCTCCATCGGACCTGCCTACAAGGATCAGGTCTTATGTGATGTAGTAGAGATGGATGCGTGTCATTTACTATTAGGGAGGCCATGGCAGTTTGACAGGCACTCACTGCATGATGGATATACCAACACGTACAGCTTTCTGTTTGGGGGAAAGAAAATTGTGTTACTACCGGATAAGGGTTCAGTACAGACAGTTGGGAACAATGCCAATTTACTGACCAGAAAGAAGTTCGAGACAGAGATGGAGGAGTCTGGGGTAGTGTATGTACTGATTGGAAAGTCGGTTGACAGTGAGCATGAAGTCCCTCTCACAGTTCAGCCATTGCTAAAGGAGTTTCATGAAGTTTTCCCAGAAGAGCTTCCTGATGGACTACCACCACTGCGGGATATTCAGCATCAGATTGACTTGGTGCCTGGAGCTGCCCTACCTAACTGAGCGCATTACAGAATGAGCCCCACTGAGCATGAAGAGTTGCACAGGCAAGTTGAGGAGCTTCTGGCAAAAGGACACATCAGGGAGAGTCTTAGTCCTTGTGCTGTTCCTGCTCTTCTCACACCAAAGAAGGATGGCACGTGGCGCATGTGCGTGGATAGTAGGGCAATTAATAAGATTACGGTGCGTTACTGCTTTCCTATTCCCCGCCTAGATGACTTGTTGGATCAGCTTACCGGTGCTTGCGTGTTTAGCAAGCTTGATTTGAAGAGTGGGTACCATCAAATTCGGATCAGACGTGGGGATGAGTGGAAGACCGCATTTAAGACGAGGGAAGGATTGTACGAGTGGTTAGTCATGCCCTTCGGCCTCTCAAATGCGCCCAGTACATTTATGCGGGTTATGAATCAGGCTCTTCGCCCATTCATCGGTAAATTTGTTGTGGTCTACTTTGATGATATTTTAATTTATAGTGCTAATGATGATGAACATGTCCGGCACCTTCGAGAAGTTCTTTCAGTTCTTCGCAGGGATAAATTCTATGCTGCAGTGAAGAAGTGTTCCTTTCTCACTGATAGTGTAGTGTTCCTGGGTTATGTGGTGTCGAAGGTGGGGTTAGCAGTTGATACATCTAAAGTAGAGGCGATAAGTCGATGGCCACAGCCCAAAAGTGTCACTGAGGTGCGGAGTTTTCATGGCCTTGCTTCCTTCTATCGCAGGTTCATACCGCATTTCAGTAGCATCATGGCACCAATTACAGATTGTATGAAGGATGGTAGGTTTCAGTGGACTCACGAGGCAGAGTCATCTTTCCAATTGATTAAGCAGAAGTTGACTACTGCCCCAGTTTTGGTGCTGCCTGACTTTACCCAACCATTTGAGCTGCATTGTGATGCTTCGAAAGTGGGTATTGGTGGTGTGCTGAGTCAGAACAACCGCCCTGTTGCATATTTCAGTGAGAAGCTTTCTGGGTCAAAGTCTCGGTACAGTACTTATGATGTGGAGTTCTATGCAATAGTCTAGGCCATTCGACATTGGCGTCACTATTTGTTCCATAAGGAGTTCATTTTGTATACGGATCATGATGCCCTTAAACACCTTGGTACTCAGGATAAGGTTTCTGCTCGACAAGCCTCTTGGATTGCTTATCTACAGCAATTTACTTTTGTGATCAAGCACAAGGCAGGTGCCCTTAACAAAATTGCGGATGCGTTGAGTAGGCGCCAAACGCTCCTTACAGAAATGCGAGTAGAGGTTCCAGGTTTTGACAGGGTGTGTGATTTATATGCTACTGACCCATAATTTTCCCATGTTGTCCAGAAGTTCCAGGAGGGTGTGCAGTCGGAGTTTACATAGGTTGATGGTTTTCTTTTTCATGGAAATCAGTTGTGTGTTCCAGAGGGCAGTTTGAGGTTGAAGATCATTCAAGAGTTGCATAATGAGGGCCATGTGGGTCGTGACCGAACATTGCAGCTTGTTGCTGCTTCTTACTTTTGGCCATCATTGCGCAAGGATGTCAGCAAGTTTGTGGAGCGTTGTCGGGTTTGTCACTTGGCCAAGGGCAAGGCGACCAATGCGGGCTTGTATATGCCCCTACCTATCCCAACCCAGCCTTGGACAGATGTGAGTATGGATTTCGTTGTGGGACTTCCCAGGACCCAGCGTGGTTTTGATTCAATCTTCGTAGTGGTTGATCGGTTTTCAAAAATGGTACATTTCATCCCCTGCAAGAAGACTACAGATGCTGTCAATGTAGCCTTATTGTACTTTCGTGAAGTTTATCGCCTTCATGGACTGCCTACATCTATTGTGTCCGATCGGGATACTCGTTTCCTCAGCCACTTTTGGCGCAGCCTATGGCGCTCTGTGAATACACGGCTGGACTTCAGCAGTGCATATCATCCTCAAACAGATGGTCAAACAGAGGTTGTTAACCGTTCCTTAGGTGATTTACTACGTTGTTTGGTTGGTGATCACATTAAGTCTTGGGATCAGAAGTTGTGTCAAGCAGAATTTGCTCACAATCATGCTGTTAACCGAAGTACAGGTTTTAGTCCGTTCCAGGTGGTGTATGGCCTTGTTCCTCGTGGTCCTCTTGATCTAGTTCCAGTTTCTACTTCTGTTAAAATGCATGGTAAGGCCGAAGACTTTATTCAACAACTGCACCAGGTTCACTCACAGACTCATGATCAGTTGCAGGCTGCTGTCGCTGAATATAAGCGTGTTACGGATCTCAAGCGCAGACATGTTGAGTTTGAGGTAGGTGACTTTGTTTGGGCGATGTTAACAAAGGATCGTGTTCCTGCTCATGAATACAACAAGCTTACTGCGAAGAAGATTGGTCCGTTGGAGGTCATTGAGAAAATCAATCCAAATGCTTACCGTTTAAAGCTGCCCAGCCATATTCGTACCTCCGACGTGTTCAATATCAAGCATTTGGTGCCATTTCATGGTGATAATTCTGGTGATGATGATGAAGCTCCTTTCCCGTCAAATTCAAGGGCGAATTTTTCCCACCTTGGGGAGAATGATGAAGTGCACAAGGGATTAGAGTTCATGGCAAAATGGGACCATCACAAGGCAAAAGTTGGCAAAAGGGGCAAATGATTTCATGATGACTTTGGGTTTGCTCGTTTTTGGCAAATCACTAGTCTAATTTGATTGGAGCCGAGCCAAGGAATAAAACTCAGCGCCTTTGGCCCTGACGTAAGACCAATTTCGGGCAAAATCCATCGTTTAAGCTTTCGTTTAATCGTTTTTGCTATTTATGGTAATTTTCATTTTTGCAATATCTCTTTCCATGAAATTCGGAATTAGATTCCGTTTGTTGGAGGGTGATCCCGAAGATAAGTATTTTCCATCTTAGTAATTATCTCATATTTTCCATTTTTGGAAAAAAATATCTTTTATTTTATTTTATTTTATTTTCCGAATTTTCCTAGGTTTTTTTTCTATTTAATCAGTTGTAAGCCCTTAGAGGCAGTAGTTCTTGAATTCAATAAAATCTTCCTTGAGAGTTTTCTCAATTTGTGATTGTTCATCTTCCCTATAATATTTTCGCTACGTCACTTTCTATAATTTCCTTGTTTTCCAGATCATCTGCCATACACTTCAGCACTGCCTATTGTTGTGGGTTTTATATTCTGGCAAGATATAGTTATTCAATTATTAATGCTGAAACTGGCAGATTTACATTTCCTATGGAGGCCATTCTTGACTAGCCAACATTTTGTTACTCTATGTGAAGACATAATTAGTCAGTACTGCAATTTCCCTCCCAAAAAATGACACTTTAACTCTATTGTTTGAATTAAAAATGAATGATTACTTAAACTACTTATAAACATTATAAAATTTCAAATCAATCATCATAAACTCTAATTCAGAGACAAATAGGTCACAATGAGAAATGAACCAATACCTCGAGCGATTAGGACAACAAGAGGTGAGAATAACAAGATGGATCTTATAATGGCGTCCTGAAAATAGCACAAAGAGAGAGAATCAATTTGTTAATTACAACATAACTGGCAAAAGTCAAATGATAGTCAAAGAAAATAGATCGGCGAGTCTTTGATAGAAAATAGCATATATATTGTAGAAACTTTTCACAACAAGACCAAGGGAGTTTAAAATAGAACCACATTGATGGACTGATCATGCCTAGGCTTTGGACAACTTTGACAAGCAAGAGAGTCACACTTCGAAATTTATATGATAAGCTCATGAAGCTTTTAATCACATAAAATGCAGATATAGACACCCTGCTAGAAAAGGGCAACATAGTTAGTTATGTAATTCTAACACAAGCAATGGAATAAATAATGGAATACCTCCTAAATAACTATATGAAACCCAGAAATAAATAATTACTCTAGTGTAAAGAGTAGCTAGTGAACTAAAACTCTAATCCATGAAACCAATTTCTTATGCATCATTCTTACATTCTATAATAATATACTCTAAAACAAGAAATGTGAGCTTGTTATCTGGTTAAAAATTGTGCTCAATTCTTTCATTTTTTGTATCATTTGATCTCTTAATAAATTCAAGAAATTAAAATAGACCAATCAATGATAGTATCATTAAAATTCAAACTTTACAAACAAACTACTTGCAATGACAAAGCATATAGAAACTCATAAATGATTACCCACCTAATCTTTTAGAGATTGCAGAACATCCCCAATCATCTCCTTCATCAAATCTAACTTCTTATAGTAGAGCTCGACCTCCTTTATCATAAATTTTTCCCATTTTGCCTCAATGTTTCCCGAATTGCTACTCCCCTTCAAGGTGCAGTTCTTCTTGACCATATCTGGTGCAATGAATCCAATATTTTGATTGAATGACGGATGTATTAAAGGATGCTTTAACTCCATATTGATATCGACTTCATCCTCAACAGTGCCTTTCTTCTTTTTATCTTCTTTTTTGGACCCAAACTCCACCCTTCTCCGCTTTCTTGTTTTCTCACTGATTTCTATGATTAGCTTTTTATCACACCCATCATTTCCCCAAAGTTTATTGGAAAGCTCAAAAACAATTGAGTCGTGACGATTAGAGAAATCCCCGGGGGCCCCATTCTCTGTAGTTTTCTTGAAGTTTCCTACAAACTTTTTCCTGAGCCTTCAAAGTTTTTCAGTGATCTGAATCTTTGTAAACTGAGTGTCAAGTTTGTCCTTGATGAAAAAGTAAAAATCAGTCATGTTTTTATCTCCGTGCATACACTTGAAGTCGATCATACCTTGAAGCAAAACAATGACATCTTTGTCCGTGAAAATCTGGCTAAATGAAACTAGGGGTTTCTTCCTATTAGTTTCTTGAATGTCAGTCTCAAGAGGATTTTCTGTGGGGTTCAAGGATTCAACAACCGTGATGACTTTTTTTTTTTGGAGGTTTTGAAAATCAAAATCAGAGCTGGAGGCTTGTTTGCCCTCTTTTTGTCCAGCTTCTGTGATCTGATTCTCGCCCGCTAACGCTTCTTTAATTTTAGAATTGGGATCACAGATGTAATCACCTTGTTCTTGAGTCTTCTCTAATACAGCATGTGATTGTTTTCGTTGGTCCGCTTGATTGTGAATTCGCAAGGCCGTTAATTTGTCCAACGCTGGTTCATGGCCCTCTTTTTCTCCAGCTTCTGTGGTGGTCTGATTCTCATCAAACAGTGCAATTTCTTGAGCTTTTGAAATGGGAACACACGTAGAATCATCTTCCCGTTCTTGTGTTTTCACCAATGCTTCTTCTAAGTGTTTTTGTTCTTCAGAAATAGCAACATCTTCATCCATTATATTAATTTTTTGGGCTGCAAATATCAGAAATATTTAAAAAAATTACCTTTTCTGCAGATAATCAAGCAGATAATTGGTGTCAAATACAAACAAAATAAAGTTAAGTTTCCTCTTCATTTAAGTCAGTTTGATAAAGGCAAAAATGAATAAGTTAGCCCTAATGTCCTGATGATTAATATGTGAACCCCATCTTGTTGACATATTCTGCAGTCAATTATTCTAAGACTTTAAGATACAAGAGCAACTACATATATTAAGTTTTCAAGACGAACTAAAGATAAACAATATCAAGAAGAAAGAAGAGGCATATAATCAAAACAAGTGCAGAATATGCATTGATGAGAACAAGAAAAAATGCCAATTGGAGATGTTTGGTGATGCCTAAAAGCGTCTGCTAAAATAATTTTAAGAAAGATAAAGGGCCTATTCAATAGCATGGTTGGATTACCTTCCTTCCCCTAAACAACTTAAAGAAACAAACTTCTAGATGAAGTTTCTCGACTGCAAGTGAAAAGCCAAAAGTTTATACAGAAATTCCTACTATTTCACTACCTATCATCTCTATTCATTAAGCAAGAAAAACTCTCCATGAATCTTATTCAAAACTCTTCTCCTACAAGAGAAGCAGATTATTTCTGTTGATACTTCTAGAAAATCCAGAAAAGAAGCCAAAATTGGTTGTTAAACTAGACCACACATGTAAATTGTTCAATATGCAAAAGGGTTTGAATAATCAAAATTAAGTTGAAGAATATTATATACTTACAGCCCTCAGAAGCAGATGATGATGAGGAAGAATGGAATACTAATTTTTTGGACGCCAAAGCCATAACCACCTAGCTTCCAAATCTCTTGTTTTCTTCTTCTTTTCTTCTAGGGGGAATCAATGGTTTACCAGTGAAGGGATCTAAACTTTTTACAGAGTCATCAGAGATAGAATTCTTCCGTGTATTTGTTCCTTGAAACTTACGCTTACCATTAGGCGGATAGTAAACCTCAGTGGCTGTCAAGTCAAATACATGCACATTAAAATTTGAATTTCCAGTGTATTTGAAGAGTAAAAAGTAGCCATAACGGACAGAATCAATAGAATCAGTAAGTCTAACAACATTGGAGAGTTGATGACCTTATCTTTTAACAAATTTGTTGAGGATCTTCCGCACAAAAATACATTATAATTTATTATATATACAAGCAAAAAAATGCAGAAATTTCATCCGACTAAACCCTAAACTTTATATCATTTCTACAAGCTGATATTTCAGTTAGCAAACTACCCCAATAGGCAAATACAAGAATCTCATTAATAATTAAGAAGATATGAAAATTACCAGTTTGTGAAGGGAAGTGATTGAGGGCAAAATAACTTTGAAGAATCTTCTTCTAAATGCATTTTTGTTGCTTTGTGTTTCATATTCCTGGTAATATTCATGGTGTTTCGAATTTTGTTGGAACTCTGTAAACCCCTTTCGAATTGAATGATTCAGTGTGAAAATCACACTCATCCAGACGAAGAGTCAAGCCTTAATTATGCCTTACAGATAATTAGTGTCAAATATCAATCGTTATTGATGTCTGTCCCACTGCTCTATGAGTCTATGTTCAGTATAAATCTTAATTTTATATTATTTTGTATTCAATCCATTTGAATTTATAATTATTGCTATTCTCAAAAAATTTATTGATATTGGGAAACTGGTGCCTTCATTAGTACTATTCTGAGTGTCAAAGGGCTTCTTGAGTAGAATTTGTTCGCCTGTAATTATTACTAAAATATGTGGTTGCGTACATGAGTTCAAAAATGAGAGAAAGTTAAGAACCTTCATTAGAATTAACACGTGGATATAACTATTTTATTGATTTTACAAATAAGTTAAAAGCAAAAAAGGTCTATTCATTTTTTCCAACTTTTATTAATTGAAAAAGTATCTATTCATTTACTTATACTAGTGGTAAGCACGTGCCTTACACGTCTTCTATGCGGCATGAATGATATGCATAGTATTTTTAAAGTAGGACACTTGATAATGTTAAAAGAAAAAATTAAAATTGTTAAAGAATATACATATAAAAAAAGTTTTGTGAAAATTACGTACATAAAGTGAAAATGTTGAATAAATTGAAATATAATGATTTGTTTAGGACAAAGGCATCGACCAATTTTGTGGTACAGACATACAAAGAAAAATCAAATTAAAAGATATACATTTGATTAAGTTTAAAATGTTTACATATAAGTAAACTAATAATTTTCAAATTAAAAAAATTACTCATACTATCTGTACCATAAACTTTTTTCCTATAAAAAAAAAAAGGAAATAAAAGTCTATTATCTAAACATATTTAGAAACAAAAAATTACATATTAATCATGCTCATCATATTAATCCATAGCATTTATTTTAAATTAGAAACCAAAGTTACATCCAAAATAGATATCGTAGTGAAAAATCTTAGACAAAAGTTTTCCTTTTCTTTTGAATGGGATTAATACAAATGGGGGAATAAAAATTCTTCATTTAAATGTACCAAGATAAAAATATTTTCTTTTCTTTATATATTTATATATAGTAAGTAACATGATTACCATGAATTTTTATGCTTATACAAAAAGGAACACGCAATAATAAATATTCAATACTATATTAATTATTTTTTAGAACACATAATATAAATTTTTATTAATGCTTAAAAAATTGGATTTAGTGAAAATGTTTAATTGAGAGGTAAAGCTTGTATTTAGCGTGTAGATATAAATATGGGAAGTGTAAGTAACTTCCAATTGTTAGGAGTAATTAGTAAGGTTTTTAAGATTGATGAATAATTTCTCCCATCATTGATTCTTTCCCTCCTAACTGTTGATCACATGTAAGCACTTTTTTCTTTTCAATTTATCGCCATTTGTATTTAAATAGTTGTATTATCAACTATTAATTAATTACACGTGAAATTTATAATTTTTGAATTAAAATATTAAAAATGTTATATGAGGACAAAATGATAAATTGAACATTTCTCATCCATCTCCACATTTTATTTTTATATATATTGTAATTATAATATAATTATATAATTAGATGAATGTTGATTTTAAGTTAAACTCACGTATATAAATAATAAATAATAAATAATATAATATATATACATGTACGTATATAATAATATTATAATATATTAAAGATGGCATAATTAAAAATTGATTTCACGTAGTCTCTTTTTTTAAGTATAGAATTCATTTTTAATATTAGAGTACTCATAGTTTTGGGTTAACTAAATTAAGTTTAATCACTTAAAATCAAAACTCGTGTACATACATAATTATATTAAAAATATAATAAATATTATTTTATTTGATAATTAATCTACCATTATATTAATGCAACATTTGATTTATTTTATTGTATAATTATAATAAAATTACGTCTAGATTTTAAGTGGTAAAATTAATTTAAATAATGTAAGTTAAGTAATTAAACATAATTTCATTAATATAAAATTTAAGTGCTCCAATATAAAACAATAAATATTACACTTAATGGACATTAAATGAAGTTAAATTATATTAAATGTTACTATATTAAATATATAAGGGTAGAATTGGCATATGGCTAAAAATATAAAGGATTTTTATTAAGAGCATTAATTCAATTTATTCAACATGAAATTGAAAAATGGGTATTGTTTAAGGAACTCAAATGATGGCCTTAAATAACCATTTATAGAAATTAAAAATATTTTTTACTTTAATTAATAGCATTACATTTAAATGGATACTAAATGAAGTTAAATTATATTAAACGGTACTATATTGAATATATGATAATAGAATTGACATATAACTAAATATGTAAGGATAAAATTGATATTCAAAAGCTTTTCCTAGCGTTGGACATGGTCCGGTTCGATTCGGTTCTAACGAGAATCGAACTGACCTGAAATTTTCGGGTATTTAGTAAGTGGAATCATCGGGTCCAAATTTAATTATGAAACCGTTCAGGTTCGGTTCCATTCGGTTCTGTATTATAATTAAATTTTTTAATATATACAAAGTTACATTAATTTACTTAATGATATGTTCAATATTAGCTCTTACAAAATAACGTAGTCTAATTTTATGTGTCTTTTACGTCTCTCTTTGCTGAATTCTTCATAAATTTGATTATTAAAATCATAGGAAGAGAAAGATAGCGAGCTCAAAATAATTAAGAGAAATGTTGTAGAACTTTTATTCGATTTTCTCCAGTAGGAACGACACTATAGTAGAGTAACAGATTTGGATAAAATTGAGATCAATTTGATTAAGTTGATTTTGAACTAAAAATTAGAAATAGAAAAATTATATTTTGTAATTTGAACTAAATTAACTAGTTAACAAATTTATTTAGAAAAAATAAAATAATTTTGCTTATTTAAAATAAATAAATTTAAAAAATTGAGGAGATTCGGTTTTTATTCGATTCTTCGGGTCTTGACCGAGAATCAGAACCGAACTGTACCCGTCAGTTCTTGATTCAAATACCCCTTCGGGTATTTAATTTGAGAAGAACCGTCGGATTCGGTTTTGTTTGGTTCGGTTCGGTTCGGTTCGGGTTCGATCAGTTCGAGAGTTTTGTCCAGCCCTAGTTTTTCCTCAATGCATACTTTTAATATATGGTAGATGATATGTAAATACTTACAGGAAAGCTTTCGAGCTTACCAAGTATGCATTAAAAGTTATAGACGTTATTATTTTTTAAGTGCAAAAACTAAAAGTTGTATTTTAGACAAACGGGTTTGGAGATTATTTTAATTAATATTTCGTTTGAGTAAAATAAAAAATATATATAGAAATATATAAAAACCAAGATAGCCGATGCTATATATTAATTCAACTTACGTAAACATGTAGTAAAAATGTTAAGTAAATAAATTTTCAAAAATGTTCCAATGAGTAAGAAAGAGGAAGATAGCTAAAAAATGGTTAAAAAATCGTATGTAAAAGCATACTAAAAATGGAAAGGGCATACAATAATAATTTTGGCTAGAAAACTTATAAAATTTTTACACTTAGATTATAGATAATGAGCTTAGGTGACCCCGATTTTTGCAATGGCAACGTGGACAACAGATGTCGTGCCCGCTCGTGCCTATGCGAGCAACTTTCGACACGTTATGATTGGAATAACCAATTGAAGGATCTCTAGCTGCAACGAATGTAGATATGGTCAATCGCATCTCATGCTAATGTAAATGGGCCAAATGTTGATAATGAACGGAGCTCCATGCCCAAGATGAGGCTTTTTTGATTAATAGGCCCAATTAAATTAAATAGGCGATGCCATGTCGGTCAATGTGAGACTTCCTCCATCACACGCATGCTACGTAATTTATAGATGTAACAATAGTCCCCTAAGTTTGAGTTGTACATTCATATGCGAGTCGGGCTTCAAAATATAAGTAGTCAACTAGGTGAGATCTTACAAATTGTCTAAAAAATATGAGCAGCTCCAATATGAGGACTCACGGACTACCTTAAAAAATCCGTGCAAGCTTTAATAAGTGGGGGCCTACAGACTGCCTCGAAAGATAGATATCACATATGATTTGTCAATAATTGATTTGAATCATAAAATGACTATTGAATATCACATATGATCAATTGGATGCAATTTGGAGTGTCAAGTGAGTGAAATAGAGTTGAAGTATTTTCACCAATCAATTTTCAACCGAATAAGTTATGCTTTAAATTTTTAGCCTCAATTTAAGACCCATTTTTTTGGATAGCAAAATTTCAAATTGAAAATATTGTATTTCAAGAAGAATTGTAGCTCTTTCAGCTAGATTTCCCTGGAAGAAATGAGAGATATATCTCAAGCAAAATTGGCTATTAACTAGCAAAAAATGGTTAGGTATTATAACTCTAAAGTTAAGAAAAAGTCATTTTCGCTCGAACGACCTTGTGATACAAAAAGTGTTCCTATCTTCTAAATAGTCGGGAGTGGGAACCCCAAGCCCTAATTGGGAGGGTCCTTATCGAATCAAGGAAGAGGTTTGATCAGAGACCTATAAAATTTTAAGTATCGATGGAAGGCGCAGCCTCATCCATGGAATGCAAAGCATCTACGAAAGTACCACCAGTGAAATTGTAAATGAATTTTATGTACGATTTGTTTAAATTTAAATGAAAGTTCCATAATAAAAATTTCTGTTTTACGGAAAAAAATACTTCTCGTTAACTAAATTATGGGAGAACCATCTGCATAGATGAACTGTCCCCATGTGGAGAAGTGTGGCACCTTGACGATGAGGTGTATCCTATCGAAGGCAAGATAGCTTGGAGATATTAACACCTCCACCCATGGTTAGAATTGGCGATTAGAGCATTTTCAGTAGGTTCTTTAAATATTTAATTTAAAAATTAACCTTTAAAATTATGTTCTAAGAGACTACTTAAATTAATATTTTAAAATAAAGAGAGTTTATCTCTCCAAATTTAGTGTGTCAAGCTCACTCTCTATAATTAAATACACTCAAAGTGCTTCAATTTTCATTGGAAAAAATAATATAATAATTTCAAGGAAAACTAGGGAAAATAGAATATAAGGAAAAATAA